ATTTACTGATTAAGTATTTTTAAATTAAGGAATATATATGGTTTTTTAGACACAATGTTATTGGGCACTTAATAAACTACAGTATAGTATGAACATAAATTTATATGCACTGGGAAGCCAAAAAAATTGTGTGACTCCTTTTATTATGATTTTGCTTTATTATGGTGGTCTGGACCTGAACCCACAATATCACTGAGGTATGTCTGTACTTTTTTGTTTTTGTACTTTTTTCCTGACACTTCTCTCCTTCTGAAACTCTTTAGCTGTGGTTTTCATCTGTGTTTCCACAGCACACAGATATGCATTAAAAGTGCACAGTAGATATCACACCAGATTATTACCCACTAATCTCTCTAAAGTCTGTTATTCTAAGCACTTTTTTTTTTTTGCTGTGATCCTTACTATAGAGCTTGGACACATATGCTGGCACACAGTGTATTTTCAAAAACAAAATAGGGGGGAGGGTATAGCTCAGTGGCAGAGCATGTGCTTAGCATGCATGAGGTCCTGGGTTCAATCTTTAGTACTTCTATTAATTTTCTTTTAATAAAGGAAAAAGTTATTTAAAAAACCCCAATATTTTCTTCCATGCTCTGGGGACACAATTACCTCTGCATTAACCAGTCATCTGGGCCTAGACTCCATTCTCAGCAAAGTAGGGCTCTCTCATTTGGGGATAAAACAGGCAAATTTGAAGGACTAATTTACTTCTCCTTATATCCTCTTCTTTTAGAGGAGGGTAAAACTGGAAATTAATGGCAGCATATGAATTCAAATTTTCATTATCAAGCAGGTAAAGATGATCATGGTAATATGAATTTCTCTGAATAATTCAAATCTTCATTCTAGATGTAAACAAAAATTTACTTAATATCCATACATTTTCTAGGTTCTTTCTGAAGACCTTACTGATTTAATGTGACAATGTTTTGTTGTAGTTACTGGCAAAGCTATTCTTGTCTATGCGAGGATCAGAGAGCAGAAGAAGTGATGGAGATGGTGATTCTTGATGGTTTTGAGACAGGAAGTGGGCAGGGCATAGGTACACACTCCATAGACAGAGTGTGGGCATCTCCGAAGAGGGAGAGGGGGGCAGCAGCCAGAAGGCATCATGTTGCCAGTTTTTATGGGCTCAGTGGCTTCATATGCTAATAAGTGGAAGGACCAATCTAACTAGTCTAGGGAAGGGGCTGGGATTCCCAGGAAGTTGGCCATTTCCCACTCTTTGACCTTTTGTGGCTAGCCTTTTAGGACTGCCATGGTGCCTGTGGGCATGTTATTCACCATGTTAATATATTATAATGGGCGTATAATGAAGCCGAAGATCTGCTAGAAGTCAGATCTACCACCATCTTGAGCCTCAAGGCCTCCTGGGGGTTGAATCTTTCACCATTTTGATGTTAACTGCTGTAGCATTCTTTGAATGGCTGTGCCCTGCCCTCTCCCTGTCTCATTTTCACTGAAGTCATAGAAATGCTTCGACAGTAATTGGGCCTGGAGTCTAGCAGTATAGATTTTGGTACTCAATTTCTTAGAAAGTCCCTACAAGTCTCTTTATCTTGAAATGAAGAAACTGAATTAATTGTCTTGGCCTAGTCTGTAATTTTTTGGGAACAATTTTAAAAGTGTGTAACACTTTCAGTATTTAGACTGAAAATTTAACTGGTTACTTTAGTATAATTAAAGATAGATTTAGTTGTCACGACTTTTATATTTTTCGGCTTGGTTTTCAACTTTCATTCAGTATTTGTAATTTGATGACATCTGGTTTTTACTAAGTTGTCTCACATTTTCTTAAATATAGGGAAAGTATTAAAACAAAATCGATAAATTCCCTTAAGAAAGATAATTTATGTCTACATCAAATCATACAAATCCTGCTAAAAACTTCTCAACAAACAGATGGCCAGTTAGATGCATCATGTAACATAAGTTTTTATCATGCTTCTAAATTTTGGATAATCATTGTTCAACATTGTAATATGTAAAGTAAATACATATATATATATATATATACACACACACACACACACACACATACACACACACACAAATACTATATAATAAAGGAGAGCATTCAGAAAATGAATGGTTGTAACTATTCATGTAAACTGGAAATTAAAGCCCATTCTGTATTTGGCGTGAACATTCTGTCTCTGAGGCAAGCATATTTAGAACACCTAAATACCAGCTCTTCGGCGTAGCCTTATAGAAAGTTCATATCTTTTCATTCATGCCAAAACCCTTAGAGGCTTGGCCTCAGTTCTATTTATTTATTTCTGAAACAAACCTGCTTTATGTATCTTTGACGAAAGGGAAAAATCCATGGCCTGCTTCTGCCCTCTGCTGGTTTCCAGATGGGAACATTAGAGGAATTGTCTATAGAAGATGGACAACATCGTGTATTGTTCAAAGCAGGTCCTGTGTGGGCACCATTAAATAATTTTGCTGAAGTACAAGAAAAATCTGGACTGTCCTAGAAAACAGATGCTTTGTATTCATTGTAGTTATAAAGATACTGACTTTCAGACCCAACACTGTTCTTCTATGCCTTTACAGAAAGCAAGTACTGTTGGTCATTATTCTACCTAATCTGAAAAAGTCAGCAAGTAATCACATAGGGAATCAGCTCCAAAGGGCAGAAAAAAAGACAGAAGTGTCTGAACATATTGGTCAGTCTGAATAGGAGAACATGAGAAAAGCCTTCCCTGGAAAAAATATTCTGTTTAATTTGATTACAGACACACTTCCAAATCCACATTCCCGAAAAAGTACACAGAGGGAATACCATAATCCTAGCATTACTTCAGACTGAAATTCACTGTTGCTTGTCCTCTCCAATTATTTATTTTATGCCAGGCATTGCTCTGATTGCTAGAAATTCAGAAAGAAGTATTATGCACACTGACTTTGGGGTGGTCACATAGCACAGCATAATGTTTTAGGAAATGGTGGGTCTTTTTTTTTTTTTTTTAGTACAGGTAGGGTAGAGCATTTGACATATCTGAATACTTTCCTCTTGGAATCCTCATTTATTAGTCTCTCAACACTATCTTCTCCCAATTCCCATCCCATATATCAAAACAAAATTTTAAAAATTCTCCAGTATGTATTGCTCTTCTATTGCTATATGACTGATATTCTCTGGGGCGGCACCATTAACATTTGTGGCTAGTCTAAAAAACTCAAAGGAGAGTATATGCTTTCAGTGAAGGTCTACATTCACAGAATGTTTGCATCTTTTGTCATCAGTCCCAGAACCTAGCCTATATGTCTGGGCATGGTTGAAATCATATTTGAATTCTGAGTACTATGACCCAAGTCAGCAATAATTCCTATATTCTTGTTTTATATGTCAATAAAAATATACATCTTACATATGATGACACCAGATTGATAGTGTATGGTCAGCAAGGATCAGATGTATATTTTAAGACATGTGTGTTCAGGTCTCTGCATTTTTGCAACATTTTTGCTTTTATACCTCTGTAATGGTACAGCTATTATTTCATAGATTAATTCATTAATCTAACAATTATTTGATAAATGCCCACTCTACGCTACACTTCAGTTTATATATCAGTGAGCCCAAACCAGACTTGACTCCAGGTCTTCTAGTACTTCCAATAGATAGAGCGGTCAGTCAGCATATAATTAGTGGTATAAATACAAAGCAGGGTATTGCAAAGAGAGTAACTTATTTGAGAGAATGGGAGAAATAGTGGTGGGGTTACAAAAATCCTTCTGAAGAAGCAATACTGAACTGAAACCTGGGCGATTAAGGAAGCTTTTGTATAAATACTTGGAGTAGCTAATTCTAAGCAGATAAAAGATCAAGGACAACAATCCTGAGACAGGGATACTCTTACTTTGTTTTGAAGGAGAGAAAGATGCCTAGAGATTAGGGTGTGAAGGTAACAATGGTCTATGATGTAGAAGTAGAGGAGGATGGGCCAGATTATATAAAGTTTTCTGAACAAGATAAATAATTTATATTTTATTTTAACAGCAATGAGAATCCACTGGAGTGTTTTTTCAAGGACTTATATGATCTATTAGATGTTTGTAGACACACAGTATGGTTTCTCTGGGAAAAATACATTCTTAGGGAGCAAGTGCAAAAACAATTATAGTAGCTGTTAAATTATTACAATAACCAAGCAATAGATAAATGATGGTATTTATGAACCAAGATATCGGCAGTTTATAGGTGTATAAGTGAAAAGTGAGCAGACTCAGGGTATGTTTTAGAGTGGAAATGATAGAAATTGATGAAGGATTTGATGGACAGGGGAGGAAAGAGAAGAGAAAAATCAAGTATGACTCAAGAGTTTTCTTAAGCAATTGTGTGACTGATGGAGTCATTTTATGCTATTAGGAAGAAACAGATAATTTGTTTCTGGGGAAAATCAAATATTTGATTGTCATAATTCTAATTTTTAAATTAAATATGCACATGTAGATATCAAGTAGATACGTACATCTATGAATATAAAATCACAGGAGAGCAAAGGATGTAGCATTGTAAAGTTTCAGACTAGCAGAGTAAGTAAAAATTGACACTGTCCCCACTTCCAGGGAAATTCAGTTTGTAACAGATATACTGTCAGATAAGCTGGCTAATGAATATCAAATTATAAATTGAATAAATCATATAAAGATAAAGATGTATTACCAAGTAATAGGTATGTGGAGAAAATCTGTCTTTGTTAAGGGGCGTTCTGAAAAGTGATGGTTCAGATGCAGAAGGAAAATACAAGATTGCTTCAGAAAGAGAAGAAAGGAGTTGGGAAGAAGATGGGGAGGAACATCTTAGGAAGAGAGAACATAAGGAGAAAAATCTCATGAAAAAAGAAAGAGCAATGGCGGATTTGAAAAATATAAGCATTCAGGGCTAACACATTTTTCCCTCCAAGGGCAAAGAATCTCTAAGAATTCAATGAAGAAAATGTACTAAAAAGAGTAAGCTAAGTTATCTAATGTTGAAAGGGGCTCAGGGAAAGAAATAAAAGTGGATAGTCTCCTAGAAGAGATCTGACAGGTATTAAGGGTATGTTCAGCCTGAGGAGCTGCTTGGTGAGGCTAGTATGACAAAGATGGAGATTTGGTCACAAATAGAAGCCAGAATCTGAAGGTACTTCAATATGATGGAATAATTAAATCAAACACAAAAATCAGTATGGACTTTTATTAAACACCTGCCTATATTATAAGAGCCTTTAAATCTTATGTGATGACTTCCAGGACCAGAACTCAAATCACAAAAACAATGTGAAGAAGAAGCCAATCAATACGAGAACTTTTAAACATTCTACACTTAGCTATTTGACATTAGCCTTCTGATCTTAAGAATGACAAGTCCAAAGGAAGAGAAGATAACTGCTCATCCTTTCAATAAATGCTTAATAAGTGAATATTTAACCGCCTGATGACATGAATGAATTGAGGAGTGGAGAACACTGGGCTGATGTCAGAGGCTGAATGTCTTCAATCTAAATTTCAGTCATAAGAGCACAAACGAGTTGAAATCTCACGGGAACAGAGCTCTTGTGGGAAATCATTTGCCAAAGGTCTCATGCATAAATATTTCTCTCTGCTTATCACCAAGGTAGAAAATTGTAATTGTTTGCTACAGCATTCGGAGTGGGAGAAAACAGGATTATCTTCACTAAGTACTATTTAGTGGAAAAATGCACTTTGAGACAGCACAAAATGGAAAATTGCGGGTGCCAAGAAATTACTTAAGTGGAATTTGGATTCTTAAAGGTCAAATATGATCCTTTACTTTAAATGATTAATGAATTGGAAGGTGAAAACACAATTCTTTTGAGAATTTTAGCTCTTGATTTTACAGGTACATCATCTCACCAGCATCCCTGGGAAAATGTCCCAGGCAAAATATCCTTTCTGAAAATGAGTTTCTACTCTTGTCTATTCATTTTTTACAGGTGGCTTCTAAGGATATCTCTGTCCTATGCCAGTGGATAAACAATGGCTCATAAATGACATCAGGAGAACACCATTCTCTTCCAGCCAGCAGATAATATGCCTCTAAAGTTAATTAACTTTTAGCGTAATTTTGTTTACTAAGAAATTCCATCTAACTCTTCTGAAATTGGAGTGTTCCCTTGAAAAATACTTTCTTGCTGCTGAGAAAAATTACCTCAGTTCCATAATGATTGTTCCAGTAAGCCCTAGCATGAATTCCTCCTCCTTCCTTCTCAGTGGATTTTCTGGTCTGGAACAACAATATCCCTGGATCTCCATTCCCTTCTCCACCATCTATGCTATGGTACTTTTGGGGAATTGCATGGTGCTCTATGTAATCTGGACTGAGCTGAGCCTGCACCAACCCATGTTCTACTTTCTGGCCATGCTGGCTGTCACTGACTTGTGCATGGGGCTGTCCACTGTGCACACAGTGCTAGGGATCCTGTGGGGAGTCATTCGAGAGATCAGCCTGGATTTCTGCATTGCCCAGTCTTATTTCATCCATGGTCTTTCCTTCATGGAGTCCTCTGTTCTTC